AAAGCTAGTTCTAGGACAGGCACCAAAGCTACAGAGAAACCCTGTCTCGAAAAACCAAAAAACAAAAAAACAAAAAAAAACAAAAACAGGGTTGGAGAGATGGCTCAGTGGTTAAGAGCACACTGGCTGCTCTTCCAAAGGTCCTGAGTTCAATTCCCAGCAACCACATGGTGGCTCACAACCATCTATAAGGAGATCTGGCGCCCTCCTCTGGCATGCGGGCATACATGGAATGTTGTATATATAATAACTAAATAAATCTTTAAAAAAAAAAAAACAAAAAAAAACCTGGTAAGACAGGCTGGGCATGATAGCACACTCCTTTATGCCCAGCACATGGGAGTCAGAGGCAGGTGGATCTCTATGAGTTGGAGGACATCTTGAGCTATGTCAGGAGTTCCGGAACTCCAGAATGAGACTCTGTCTCAAAACAATAACAATAAAAGCCAACCAGAAAAAATAAAATATTGATAAAAATAGAGAATTTAAATGCATATTTTTTTCTTTTTTAAGTGTACTAGTTAATGCATTAAGGAATGAAAAAAAAACTTCCTCTTGGATTAGTTTGACCAAGAGTGGACTCAAATTTGAAATTTCTATTTCTCTTCCTGTCTTCTATCTGTCCCTAAAAAGAAGGCTTTGCTCTGTATTTACTGAAGAGCACAGAGAGTATCAGTGGGGAAGGAATAAGGTCTCTTTACAAAAACTGTAAAGAGTTTTTACAAGGAGGAAACTACTGCTCCCAACTAGCCCAGGATGGTAAACAAAAACTGTAAACAGATGCTAGCAGCCTATACCCGCATGATATTTGCAACAATTATATTAGGTATTTATAGTATAACATTGCTTTTAACTATTGGCTGTTTTTCAGCAAATGTTTATAACACATGTATTACTCTAGGTCAGAGACCTGGAAGAATATATAATTTTTTATTTTTATTTTTTTAAAGATTTATTTATTTACTGTGTATACATTGTTCTGGCTGCTTACCAGGAGAGGGCAACAGATCTCATTACAGATGGTTGTGAGCCACCATGTGGTTGCTGGGAACTGAACTCAGGACCTTTGGAAGAACAGCCAGTGCTCTTAACCTCTGAGCCCCCTCTCCAGCCCAAGAATATTTAACTTAAAATGAAAGTTATGCCCTAGTTTAGTCAGTAAAAGCTGATTGCATGGGAAATCCATTGCATATAAAGCTGTTTGTTATCATTGTTCTTTAAAGGCAGGTTAAATTTAAACAGGGTTTTTAATTCTAGCATTTAGGAGACAGAGGCAGACAGATCTCTGTGAGTTCCAGGCCAGACAGGGCTACATAGTGAGACCGTCTCAAAAAAAAAAAAAAAGGGGGCTGGAGAGATGGCTCAGCGGTTAAGAGCATTGCCTGCTCTTCCAAAGGTCCTGAGTTCAATTCCCAGCAACCACATGGTGGCTCACAACCATCTGTAATGGTGCCCTCTTCTGGCCTTCAGGCATACACACAGAAAGAATATTGCATAAATAAATAAATATTTAAAAAAAAAAAACACGAGCCGGGCGGTGGTGGCGCACGCCTTTAATCTCAGCACTCGGGAGGCAGAGGCAGGCGGATCTCTGTGAGTTCGAGACCAGCCTGGTCTACAAGAGCTAGTTCCAGGACAGGCTCCAAAACCACAGAGAAACCCTGACTCGAAAAACAAAAACAAAAACAAAAACAAAAAAAAAAACACGAAAAAAAAGAGTGCTCAGTAGGATAGCAGGTTAAGTCTCAAGTAAGTCTCAAGTGATCTTAGGTGATAGCACATGCCTTTAATTTCAGCACTCAGGAGGCAGAGGCAGGTGGAGATCGTGGACAGTCTGGTCTACCAAGTATGTTCCAGGACAGTCAGAGATACACAGAAAAACCCTGGCCCAAGAAAGCAAAAAGATAAGCAAGCAAACAAATAAATAAGTAACAGGAAAGGGGTCAGAGAGATGGCTTAGTGGTTAAGAGCACTGGCTGCTCTTTCAGAAGACTCAGGTTCAATTGCTAGCACCTACATAGCAGCTCACAACTGTCTGTAACTCCAGTTCCAGGGGATCCAATACCCTTATATATACCCACAGACAAAACACCAATGCACATAAAATAAAAACAAACCATTAAAAAAAGGGGGGGGGAAGCCTTAAGCTATCTCAAGGCCTATTATTAACTTTGCTGTCAGGTCCAACAAAAGTTCAGCCTCTTTGAATACAAGAGATATTTTCCAAAAAATTGTACTACTGTAAAATTTTTTATTTTGTGTGCCATGGCATGTGCATAGAGGTCAGAGGAGAACAGTCAGTTCTCCCATTGTCTGTCAAGTTATTAGGCTTGGTGGCAAGTACCTTTATCCATTAAGTCATCTTGCCAGCTCAGCGAATGCATATTGTACTCACTGGTGGGTGACTAACGTAAAGGCAGTGCCAGCAGCAGTGTGGAGACATAATATAAGGTGGAGGCGGGCTAGAGAAAGGGGGCACAGCTGAAGAACTGAGCCTGTCTCAGCATCCTCCCCTCTCCTCCCCCCTGCTGCCCCTCGGACTTGGCACAGTGTTTCTGAACTCTGCCACGTTGTCTCTTGATCCTCTTAGATGGTGCTTACAATAGTTCTCAGAACCTAACGATCTCTGAAGTCCCCAATCTGTTCCAGCCTGCCCTCCAGCACAGGTCCTGGACAGACACCTCTAGTCACCGGCGTGTCCTGCGCATGCCCACGCCGCAGCCTCTTCCATGTACTCTTCAACAGCGTCCTGCACCACCAGACAGAAAGACTGTGTACAGATCTCCAACCTTCTTGTCCCTTTCTTTCCTGCCTACTGACCTGTTCTCTCTCCTCTGACCTGCTATTCTGTTACCCAGCACCCAGTCCTTCTAGATGCTCTAGTGCCTGCCTCAACCCCATGTTCCCTAGCTTTCAGCGTCACCTTTTTATTTTATTTTATTTTCTTCCAAGACAGGGAACTCACTATGTAGACCAGGCTGGCCTCAAACTCAGAGATCCACCTGCCTCTGCCTCCACAGTGCTGGGATTAAAGACGTGCGCCGTCACCACCTGGCCACCTTTTTATTTTATTTTTGAAGGGGCTGTAGATGAAACCCAGGGCCTTGCACACAAAGGTACATTCCCAGGTCTCAGTTTGTTTCTTTTTTTGGTGAGGGCAGAGTCTTGCTATGTAGCCCAGGCTGGTCCTAAACTAGTGACTCCCCCTACCTCTTTCCTGAGTGCTAGGGTTACCGAGAGGCACCACCACCATGCCTAGCATTGTTCTTTTGTAACATAAACAAAATCGCTCTCCCTACATCTGATAAAGACAGGCAAATGGGTGATTATCTGCTAAACTTTTCCTCAGAAGGTAAAGCAAGCTCTTCAGCATGGCCTACATTCAACACTCTTCGACGGCGTCATCTGGCAAATGCTTTACTGAGCACCCACGAGTGTTCAGCAGGAGGGACAGAGTGACCAAGTCCTGGGGCCTCCCACAGAGGGACAGGATGAGATAGAAGAAGAAACACAGATGGACACCGAAATAAGAGAAATGCTTATGGCAGTGATGGGGTGTTTACGGAAAAAAAAAAAAAAAAAGGCCATCAGGCTGACAAAAATCAGTGGCCCAGAATCCGTGGGTGGGTGGTGAACTGGCACAAGCATTGTGAAGAGCAACTCGGTATATACAGTATATAAATGAGCTCAATGGTGGGGCTTTTAGCTGTGGACAGACTGAAAATCACCAAAATTTAGATTATCGAAGGACTGGTGGGGTGAAGAGGAACAAAATACAATTATAAGTCTATGAACATGTCATAATAAAATCCATGATTTTGTACTATAAAGTCTATTAAAAATAAGTAAATAGGGGGGCTGGAGAGATGGCTCAGAGGTTAAGAGCACTGCCTGCTCTTTCAAAGGTCCTGAGTTTAATTCCCGGCAACCACATGGTGGCTCACAACCATCTGTAATGAGGTCTGGTGCCCTCTTCTGGCCTGCAGACATACACACAGACAGAATATTGTATACATAATAAATAAATATTTTTAAAAAATAAGTAAATAGAAGATACACAAAATAAAAAAAGGGGGGGATCACTTCCTGGCGCAGACTTGTAATCCCAGCTGTTCAAGAGACAGGGACAGGAAGACTTCAAGTTGAAGTCCTCCCTAGGCTACAGAGGGTACTGGGCAGCTTAGGGAGACCCTACCTCAACACTCAAAGGCAAACAAGGTAATTGAGGGTGTAGCTCAGCGGTAGGTGCTTGCCTGGTTCACTTCCCAGTACCACAATGGAGGGCGGGGGAGGGGGAGAGGCTGATTTTTTTTTTTTTAAAAAAAGCAATTCATAGAGTAAGTGCATATTCAAGTATTCCCACCCATGAATGCCTTTATGGTCACACATCATCATATACATTACTCGTTTGCGCATGTGTGTGTAACACGTACAGAGATTATTGTATGCAGAGAAGAGGAATGTGTCTCTCACCCAGAATACTGCTGTAGTGGGGGCTCAGTTCGTACTTGTACTACATACAGTATTTGGTAATGAGAAGCCACCAGTCTGGAAAACAGGTAAGCAGGCATCGAGAATCTACCATTACCTCCTGGGGATGCTGGGCAATTAAGTCGTGCGCCTACTTTTCACGAAGAGGTGACAGGTCAATGCCTTTGCGGTCAGAACACAACTCTACCCCAGCACTCACCGTTCAGCCTGGTGGGTATTTGGGCCCCACTAGTCTCTTAGATTTGGTCGCACACCAGAATTAGGTAATAGAAGTGAGGGTGGTAGACACCTCCCCTGCCGAGGGGTGGGGGCGCGTTCCTGTCCAGCTCTTAAGCATTTCCCAGGAGGGATGGACCCCTCGAAGTGACCCCCTGTGGCTCTACCGCTTCTTGCTGGGCAGAAGCGGCTACCGGGAGAGCTCGGCTCCAGCAGCCCACCCGGGTGGAGAACGCCCCGCCCCATCAGCGGCGGGCCCCGCCTTCAGCTCCAAAGACTACTTAGCGTTGGAAGTACCTCCCAAACTGGTCTTCCGCTGGACCCCAGAAGGCGAGCTAACCCAGAAGGCGAACTAACCCAGGAGACCACGACCTGACCCTCAAGACCAACTGAGTGCTCTCGGAACTCGCAGCAGACCCCAGCCCCGCCTGCTGTCTCTAGATCCGAGACCTGTGACCCGACAGACAACAGACGCAGGTACCAATCTTCCCACGTCCCGAGACCCCCGGCTGAGAAGGACTTCCCCAACTGGTGGGTGAAGAGGATTGGCTCCAGGCCAGAATTGCCCTCCTCCACCCCCCATTTGCCGACTTGACCGCATTTTTCCACAGCCCAGCCCGCCATGGCCCAGTTCCTGATGGTCACGGTAACCCTCGGTTGCATCAGCCTCCTCTACCTGCTCCCGGGCACGCAGTCTGGCGGCCTAGGCAAAGGGCTGAAGCTTTTGAGACCCAGGTGAGTACAAAGTTTGGACCAGCCTCCTCATGGGAACATAAGTTTTCTAGAGCTCATCTCCCAGATCAAGGGCCACCTTCCCATCTTCAGTGTTGCCTGAGAAAGGCACGAGGACTTTTTCTTCTTTGAATCTTTCTACTTAGCATAGTTATTCTGACCCTACACACACACACACACACACACACACACACACACACACACAAGAGAGAGAGAGAGAGAGAGAGAGAGAGAGAAGAGAAGAGAAGAGAAGAGAGAGAAGAGAAGAGAAGAGAGAGAAGAGAGAGGGAGAGGAGAGAAGGGCAGGGAGAGAGGGAGAGAGAATAAACTCTTACACAAAAGGTTTCCTGGAGCAAGGGAGTCTAGAAGAAGCATTCTCAGGGAAGAACCTGGGGAGGTCTTTTGAATTCTAAGAGCCTATGTGACTTGGAGACCTTTGCCCAGAGTAGTGCTGATAATGGTACATGTGACTTGGGCTACGTGGATGGATCAGCCGCCAGTAAGCTCAGCGGGCTAACTGGCTTCTCCTCCTAGTCTTCAGGTCGGAGACAGGGTCAGGCTTTGGGCTTCCCCTGGTCTGAGGCCAGGCTTTTAGGGAAGCTGTGGGCTTCCCCTGTCAGTGCCCTCAGACTGTATAGAGAAGTAGATGGGATTAAGTGCCTTTGGAAGGCTATGCCAGGCCTCTGAGTTTGCATCTTTCTTTCCCTTCTGCAGAGACTCCCCAGCAAAGGCTTCATCCAGTGACCTACAGCCTGGACACTCTTCCCTCCGGTCAGCAGCCTGGAAGCCTCTTCGTGCTCCCCAGCCACAGGGAAGGGGCAACCCGACCCTTGCTATGGTTCATCTGCTTCAGAATGGTGGCTCACGACACCCAGGTCCCCAGCGACACTTGGGACCCCGAAGACCCCACGCCCAGCTTCTGCGTGTGGGCTGTGTCCTGGGCACCTGCCAAGTGCAGAATCTCAGCCACCGCCTGTGGCAGCTGGTCCGACCAGCGGGCCAGCGAGACTCAGCTCCCGTCGATCCCAGCAGCCCCCACAGTTATGGCTGAGGTGGGTCCTAACTGGTCCACTGGAGGGCTGTACTCTCATCCCAGAGCTGCAGCTGAGCTCCATACTCTGGCCCAGTTCTCTGGAGGTCCTGCGGGCAGCAAGTCCTCATGGCTTTGGAGACTGTAAACCTAAACCTATAAGGATGTGTGGATCCAGGCTGTAGAATCTGCACCGCCAGGGACCTGTGCGTCCCAGAACTGTGCACACTCGGGGAACAGGTGCTTGGCAGGAGTGTTGGCAGTATCACACGCCACAAAGAACTCGAAAGGAGTGTGCCTAAAGAAATAGAGCAAAGCCAGAGCCTTAAACACAGCCCCATCTATGACCAAGCAGGAGAAAGGCTAGAGTGGCCCCTGGGACCCCCACCCAACTGGGAATTAAAGCCTCTCTGTGGGCTGAAGCTGTGGTCACTCTGTTGTGCAGTTTGCTCTTCTGTGATTGACTTGGAATTGTGACTTTTCCTTGTTCGCATCCTGAGGCAGGAGGGGCAGAAAGAGGGGCTATATCCTGGGGTAAAGGAAAGAGATCTCCCGCGGCTGTCGCCAACCTGGAGCCCAGGCCACGGTGGTGATGGAGACTCCCTAGGACATTCTGGAACAAAGAACAGCAGAGCAACCCTTCTCATCCTCAGGCCAGGGCAGGGGATAAGGCAAAGTGTCCCATCTCCAAAAGTCTTAGTATGATCTACCGCTGAGCAAGAGGTGGTGGGTGGCACATACCTGCAGTCCCAGAAGACTGAGGCAGGGGGATGGCAATCATGACCAGCTTAGCCAGTATAGCAAGACCCTGTCTCAGACAATAAAACTACCCCAAATTAGGAAAAAAAAAAAAAAGGACCCAAGCCTATCTCAGGAAAGCTGGAGGCATTATTTAAACTAAGGTGTCTCCACATCCTACCCATTCCCAGGCCCGGAAGGACACTCAGCAGGATCAGAAGTAGGGACAGTGGAGTCTGACAGGCTTATTCCTTTGCTCCTAGCCAAGAGTCCAAGAAGGGGAGAGAGACCACAAATGACAAGGAGAACCAAACCGACCAGAATTACAAGTTCAAGACCAGCCTTTGCTACAGAGACTCTGAAAAAAAAAAAAAAAACTGGGGGTGGGGTAGAGTGGGCATCAATCACAACCTGGAAATAGGTACTTGGTACAGGTTCTTCACACATGTGATTTCGCCCGAACCTTGACAATTGTCCGGTCAGAACACAGGGTTCCGAAAGAGTTGTTTGTCCCTTGGCAACTGTTCACAGCACTCGCGTGTGCTTTCCAGCACCGCCCTCCTACCGCCCCGGGAGGAACGCTTCATTACTCCAGATGTATAGGCACTCACACAGGGGTCAGCGACACGCCCCGGTGACTGCAGTAAGAATGCTCAGAGTCACCTTTTGAGATGATCCCCAGTTAGCAGCATCCTGAAAGTGCCCCTCTGGGCCCCCATCCTTGTCATTACTCAGGGTTTGTATAATTCAGGCAATTCATCTTCCTTCCAAGATGAACCTGGTGGACACCGTTTGGCTCAGTCCCTTCACTGCTAAAATAGAGACCTTCGTGCATAGAGAGGCCAAAACAGGAACCGTAATAGGAGGTGGTATAATAGAAGCCTAGCAAAACAGAAAGGCAGGCTGCCTGGAAGAAACCAAGCAGGTCCAGGATAGGTCTGGGCACAGCAGGGGCTCACCAGGGTCAGGACTTAGGAGCACCAAGTCCCTGTGTTCACAGAAGGTCTGGGCTGCGGTGGTCAAAGCTGGCAGGCATATGAATGGGAACTAGAGAGGCCCCTGATGCAAGCCCCTGAATCATGTGTCCTGTGACCCCTGAAAGGCAGGGGGAAAGGTGGGTGGGCAGTGAAGACAAACCATGAGATCTGGAGCAAAGATGAGGAGTCAGACCCAAATTTCCAAGGACTCTTCTTGGTACCCCGGATCCTGGGCAAGGTCTAACCTTGCACTTCTCTTGAGCCCGCGAGGTCTTCAGCTCAAGAGGTCTTCTCTTCCACCTGCCGTCGCCCCCATACGTCTTTTCACTGACACTCTGCATTCTTCCAGCGTGGACTCCCAGACCTCCTGCAGGTTGATCTCTAGAATCCCATGGATAGTTAAGGCCCCTGAGCCTCGGAACTTTGCCGTGAAGGGGGAGGACCACTGGCATCTTTGTGCCGTGTCAGGAGGTTGCCAGTTATGACCCTTGTATCTGGTGTGATGCCAGCCCCACACTGCGCTTGGCTACACTTGACTACCTCGCAATGCCCCCATGCAGAGGTTCAGGGGCAGCGCAGCCCTCCCCACCCCACCCCTTCCTAGCTGTTTTTACACTTAAAAGTGTTCTTTCCTCCAGAACCTAGCCAGGCACCAGCACCCACCCTTGATGACTTTGAAGGTCATGACTCTAGCCTTCTCCAGGGAACCTTCACCCTCATCTGAGCATGGAGCACACAGGACACACTGGAGAGAGTGTGCAGCCTCCTAGAGCTGACTTTCCCTGGGAAGAGAGAGAAGGAAACACATCAGAAGGGTAGCTAAGAAAAGGCTTGTTGCAGCTTACCTTTTAAGGAGTACCGGGGTTGCTGGTGGCTCAGTACAATTGCATAGGGAACCCACTGAATGCAGAATCAACTCTTAATGGCTTCTAACCTAGGACTCTCGCCCTCGGCCCTCACTGGACCTACGTGTCTACTGTCCTATTCCCTGCTCCAATTTAACACTGCCCAGGCAAATTGTTTTTGTCTGCTGGATCCTCATTATAAAAGAGTATCCAAGGTGATAGATAGCACATGCCTTTAATTCCAGCACTCAAGAGGCGGAGGCAGGTGGATCTCTGTGAGTTTGAGGCCAGCCTGGTCTACAGAGCAAGTTTCAGGACAGGTTCCAAAGCTACACAGAGAAACCCTGTCTCGAAAAACAAACAAACAAAACAAAAAATCCAAATGTTTTAAATCCTGGCCCATGTGAGCCCCTTGCCCAGAAGCCAACCAGCCCTCTTCACCAGACTTAGGTTGCCTGGAGGTGATGGCGGAGCATTTGCCTAGCTTGTATGAAGCCCTTGGTTTAGTACCCACTGCTGCAAAACAAAGTCCGTAAATCAGCTTGTGGAGAAGGCCCTCTCTTCACCCGCGTGCCTCCAGCAAGAACCCAGTGAAGTCATCTCTGTAAGCACTCTTACAGAGAGCCCCATGTCTCTGTAACTTCCTGCTCTGGCCACTGCGACCATTAGCGGTAAATTTCCTCCTGTCTCGATTGCATTTGTTCTCACTCCCCTTTTGTGACAGCCTTAAATAAAGTCTTCAAGTCTTGTCATTTTAGCAAGGATGATTCTCTCCCTCCCTTGCCCCTCATTTTTTGCAGTAGTGGGGTTGAACCTAGCTAGGTACATGCTTGGTACACGCTAAACAAGCACTAATCACTTAGCTGCATCCCAGCCTACAATCATTTCTTCTACTCATAGATGCTCTTCATCAAGTTTTTCTTCCTGGGAGAAAATGTCGGGGACCAGCTGGGCGGCGGTGGCACACAGCTTCAATCCCAGCACTCAGGAGGTAGAGGCAGGCGGAATCTCTGTGAGTTAGAGGCCAGCATGGTCTACAGAGTGAGTTCCAGAACAGCTAGAGCTACACAGAGAAACCCTGTCTTGGAAAAGAAAAAGAGAACTGTGGAGAGTCACGGGTGTAGAGCGAGGCTCAGAGTCACACACCCTACAGAAGGGGCCACCTGCAAGCAGGGAGGTGTTCAAAGCTGGGGGCCGGGAGTGAGGGGAACCCTGAAGGTGTCAATGCAGGCAACGGTCCACAAAGAGACAAGAACAAAATCACAGTCCAGATTGACTTTGCCAACCCGGATCAGACTTTGGGAAGTCTAATGCCAGGCGGTTCGCTGTCAGCATATTTAAAACACAGTTTGGGCCGGGCGGTGGTGGCGCATGCCTTTAATCCCAGCACTCAGGAGGCAGAGGCAGAGGCAGAGGAACTCTGTGAGTTCGAGACCAGCCTGGTCTACAAAGGGAGTTCCAGGACAGGCTCCAAAGCTACAGAGAAACCCTGTCTCGAAAAACAAACAAACAAACAAAAACAAACAAGCAAACAAAAAAAAACCCCACACAGTTTGGGAGAAGGTTTTCAAGCAATGATCAGTCCAATTCCAAGTGTGCAATAAAGCTTAAGGTGTGACAACGTAAAGAGTCTTTTACAAAGGATGTGTGACCATGGGGGTGGGTTCTGTAGCTAAAAGGCCTAGAATCTGGTGTGGTCTCTGACAATAGCATACAGGTCAGTAGGCCGTAAAGTACTCGTGACATCTACCCTGAGGTTGGGTAATGGTCTAGGGAGAAAAGAGTCTGTAATCACCACCCTGGGAAATTAGGGCGAACTGTGCACCATAGATAACAAAAAGGTCACCAGCTCATTAACAAAGTCCTCTTTCAGCTTTCTGGATGGAATGCAGGTATTTGATTTTTATCTCCTCCATTGAGGAGACACCCCTGTGTGATGAACCTTCCTGGTTCTCTTGGTGGTTCTCTGGGAGTACAAGGACCTCTGTGCCCCCAACATCTTCTCCCAATTTTTTTTTTTAAAAAGAGAAACTAGAGGCTGTAATAGAGGCCAAGACTGAATGCATTGCCTCTATAACCAGACTAATTCATACAGGCAAGTGTGAGAGAACCAATCGTAAGATTAGCTAACAGAGAAGAGGAAAGGGCAAAGTCACCCTCAATTCAACCAGTTCTTGATTAATTTCTGCTAATATTTATGTTGTGAGCAAAACGGGCATAATATGGCCTGTTCCACCTAAAGCTCTATAAATAATCCTGAGCATCCAAAACAATATCACACTATATCCTATCACAGGTGGACATTTTATCCCCCTGACAGAAAACATTTGGATTCTGCATTGAGAAGAATTAACATGTCATACAGTCATTAAAAATAACTATCTTGGGGGCTGGAGAGATGGCTCAGCGGTTAAAAGCACTGGCTGCTCTTCCAGAGGTCCTGAGTTCAATTCCCAGCAATCACATGGTGGCTCTCACAACCATCTGAAATGAGATATAGTGCCCTCTTCTGACATTAAGGCATACATGCAGGCAGAACACTGTAATAAATAAATCTTTAAAAACAACAACAACAAACTAGCTTTTTCCTTTTTGGTTAGTCCTTGTTTCCCCCAAGTCTCCAAAAACCAAACTAATAATAATAATTTTAGGTGAAAACTTCAAAATAACCTAATTTTTATTGATTACATTTTTGGTTAGACTCCTCTTTTTTTTTTTTTTTTTTTTTTTTTTTTTTTTTTTTTTTGGTTTTTCGAGACAGGGTTTCTCTGTAGTTTTGGAGCCTATCCTGGAACTAGCTCTGTAGACCAGGCTGGTCTCGAACTCACAGAGATCCGCCTGCCTCTGCCTCCCGAGTGCTGG